CTCTACCAAAATGTAAATTACTAAGCATTCGAGCTCTATTTCACATAAAATACTAAAAAAAAACTAAAACTTACCCCCAAATAATTCTTTGTTTTTCTTTTTGTTGATTTAACCACCTCGGCCATTTATATTGGACCAGTTCATATTCAAAATTATATTCTTTAGCCATGTGGGGTATAAAATCCTATAACAAAAAAATTACAAACTATCCTTACTCACTGTGTCTGCAGGTGGTTGAAATAAGACTGACTGTTACGTTAAAGGATAAAAACTAGGACTTCCAGCCTTTTTTAAACTAATGGGCACAATTATAGCTTCTATAATTCAAGGAAATCTTGATCAAATAATTTCAGTGGACAATCAATATCATCTGGTATATACAATTGAAAACAACAGTGATCTGATATCAACAAAATAGAACAATCTTACCTTAAATGATGGTGATAGGAAATTTTTAATAAACCAGAATTTAACTTTAGATTTAGTATTCTTATATACACTTAACATCATAATTCTAAAATAATATAATAATCTCATTGAACATTAATACAATATGATAATAATGACTATAAAATAATACGCGTGATAGCAGAGCTACAGCCTACTCAAATAAAACCAAACAACGTAATCTGTGTTTAGCAGAAAGACTTTCTATTGCCAGGGACAATAAAACCCAATGATGTAACCTACGTTGTTTAACTGACAGATTGTCCATGCTGAAGATAATTCTGTAAAAGATTGATTTAATCTTGTATTGAAATGAAACTATTAATCCAACAAGAGAGCTAGAAAACAACTGTGCTGATATACCTGAACTATTTTCAATAATGTTTATCTCAGATCAGATCTGGTATAATATCAGTAGTAAGATTAATAGTAATAGATAACCCCATTACCTGAGAAATCGTTCATATAAATGTCCAGACGCCACTGAAAATATATTCAACGTTTTATCAGACTCGTCTTCACCATTCGTACCTCCACCACTTAGAGAGCTGAAAAATTGAAAGATCGTATTCGAAACTATCTCCTTGACGTTTATATACCAGCATGCTAGAGCTGTAAATCATTAGAATCATTTCAAATCAGTGAAAAATAATCAGAAATGTTGTTCTACTTTTCTACACCAGGTTGGGCTAATGTTGATGCACAACGCCAATATGCAATGAAAAATGTTTTGCCTACTCTTTCTGATTTCCACCAATCAAGGCATCTTGAATGTGCACAAGGGTCCTTTGTTTATTGTCAAACCCATCTGTTTAATTTTATCTACCATCAGTTATTAACACGGTTAATCTAAGTATCTAAGTATGTGGTAAATATCACACGTACCTGGATAATGTATCCCATAATCCACTCTGTTTATCATCATCTACAAGTAACTGTTCGTTCTGTTTATCTGCTTTCTTAGCAACCTGTAATTAAATATTAACATCATGAATATGTCTTCGGCTAATGAAATATCTAAAAATATTATTTTCTGTCAAGATGTATGGAAGAAGGAATGGCTTTTTATTCAATTTTCTTCATTGCTATTTATAAATTCTTAATTCTTATCTCTTACTTTGCAGCTTAATTTAACATTTGTTATTGAAAATTGACATTTGTATACAAAAATCATAATTTGTACGGAAAATGAACATTCTTCAATAAACATTCGGTTTCCAATTATTGAATTAAAAGAATAAAGTTCTATTTTGAATAATCTTGAAGAAAAAGGGTGTTTGGCATCGTCTTTCTTAAAAGTTGAGTTTGCACCTCAGAATATCAATTAACTCACTCTAAAGAAGATAATAATTTGACTCTGTGTTAGCTTACAGAAGGAAACTGAGGTTGAAAGTTAGATTAAAATATAAAAAACAAAGATGTCATTACCTTGACTCTAATAATTTTACTTTTAAAATCTTGAATGGCTGTGATTATATCTTTAGAGTTGTCTGGTGAATCTGTATTTTCATGACTGAATAAAACAGAAAGTAAATAAACATCTCAGCTCCATTTTTCAGAAATTGATACAATAAAAAATTTAGCATTTTGGAATTTTACATTGAGAAATACTATACAATAGTGACAAAATTTTATCGTTTTTTTTGTGACAAGGAAGCCGGTTGTCAATAACACTCTGAATAGAAATTTCTGAGAAGTTCCTCCTGAACCGGCCTGGCCAAATTTATGTCTAAGATAAAACACACTGATATTTTTTACGATATTTAAATTCAAAACAATGAGATGATATCACTAGAGGTTTTTTAGTCCAAGAAGAATATTATCATTATTATCAACTAACCTCTGTATGTCGTATATTTCTCGTGACCTTCCCTCTCGTAATTTTAGATTCCATACCCCAGGGTTAGCCTTCAGTTGGAAATAACCCTAGATAATAAACAACATATATAAACAAACTTCTTTAAGACTTTTCTTGACAAACACAAAGATCCAAGTAGAATTAAAATTAAAACGTTCTGAACTTTGTGTTGTTTTTTCAGTTGATTCCTGAACGTTTAGAAGGCACAAATCAAGGGACACCCTAAAGCCCCTGGAGATTGAATATTAAAGGATACTTACGAGATTGGCCATGACGATAGTATCTACTATAGCAGGTTGTGTATCGGTACCGAGTATAAACTGTAGACCACGAGGAGGCTGCATGGTATTACTATCATGACAATGTCCTATAGAGATATAAACATAGAGTATGGTATTGTTATATCAGTAGAATTCTAACACCTACAGTAATACTGTATGTAAAATCATCCTAAAATAAATCTGCTGGTAAAGTCGGGTTGGTTTAAATAAGTCACCTAATCTCCAGAAACTCAGACACGCTTTATACTGGAAACCAAATATTTACTGCATCAATTTATCCTTTACTCTGTAGATACAGTTTTCTGTTTTATCACAGCCAGGTGTTTATTGTAGGGTCAGAAAACTTGGTCCTGGTGATTATCTACCCCCTCAACCATAACTTAAAAACACAATATCTATCAGAGGATGGAATAGACGCAGATTTTTTTGACAAGAAATTACAGGTTGAGTTTCTCTAGAATTCTCACCTACCTTCCAATAAAAGATATTCCAGTTCAAAATCAGCAGAAACACCTGTCTCAACTTCTTCTAATAAAATATTATCTAAATCATACACAGAACGTACAGCTTCTACCAACCAACTTTCAGGTGGGTTCATATTTAGCGTTAATAATGATTTCTGAGGAAGACTGGTAAATCTGGCCTCTGGTCCGGATGCTAAACTACCATTGGATAAAAACTGGACGTCAGGTTCTAATACATAACGGTAAAAACTGGAATAAAAACACAAAGAATAGATCGTTGGTATATTGGTTACAATGTAGGATTTAAAGTCAATTGTATAATAATATGGAACTCATAGCATGAAACTCTTGTTTTTAGCTTCTGTTTTAGTATTTCTAATATTCTTATATATTTACTTTTTGGTCTTGTAAGGATGATTTAAGGCTTTCAGCTGATTCTTGTTTTATGGTTAGAAACTTTCTAAAATATATATATCTCTTTCAACTGAACTTTGACGTAATAGAAATATTTGTGATGGTAGAATCCTCACCTTGTCAGTGGCATCTCTGATAATTTATCGCGACAATTCATAAACACTCTGATTTCTACGTTAAATATTTCTCTTAACACCTGAAATAAATAGACAATGACAAAAATAAAACCAGCCATTACAGCTTTCCATTATCACTGTAAATAACAGGGTGAAGTCAGTGTCTCTAGATACTCCTCTACTAAACTCCTTATCTCCAGCTGCATCACTGACAGGGAGAAACTGGGTTGAAAAATCTGAAGGTATTATCTTGACTTATTCGACCTTCAGGTTAGCGAGCAAGTGTCTAACTCACTGAGCCACCTCAGTCCTGTCAACAATTATAGGATAACATCAAACTCATTAAATGTGTTAATTAATAAGTTAGTAAAATAAGATTCACAACCAGAAACAATATAAAACACCTACCATCAATATAGGACCGAGTTTTTGAGCCTCCCTAGACACAGGATCTACAATAGCTTCAAGAATAAACGCTGGAGAACTTTCATCAGCTGATAACTTTAATACACTATAAATCAAGTAGATAAAAACAGTTAAATGTCTTTAAACTGAAATATACTGGACGTAATTTTCACAATCTACACAAATCATATAATCTAAAATGAAATTTACTGTTATAGATACATAAAATATTGTGGTCAATACTAAGAGTAACTCATTTCAATAACAAACATCAATATCAAAATGTTACAAATATTGATGTAGATGTGGTGTGTAGTTTATAAAAATAAATTTACCAGGTTCGCTATGAAAGATGTATTTATATATAGTATTAAATATTCTCAGATGATTTTCGTTGCTTTATATATATCCTTGTCAACTTACCTGTGTTTATCTGAGTGAAACTGAACTTTCTTTCTACTTTCAATTTGTGGCTGTCCCGTTAGTAAAGAACACGTTTTTAATACCAACTCATTGCCTCTGAAATTAAACCAAACAGTTACGTCAACATTGTAGTTCTATATTTAACATAAATATAAATATTAAAACAGAGCCTAAAAAAATATGTTGTTACTCAGAATTTCACGCTATGGGATCTTCAGACAACTGACCTATTTCAAGCAGGCGTCCCTACTGAAGTTCGACAAGTAGAATATATTTTCATGTCTACACTTCCAGACGAGTTCGTAACATTTGTTTAAAGAAGTTTTCTTAAGGGGGCATTAATGATGGAAAGCTTTTCAGTTAAACACAGGTTACATCGTTTGGTTTTATTTGTCTAGACTTTAGCTATCAATAGATCAAGATATTAAATCTATATAGAATAAGACAGAGATGATATTTTTTAGATCATCATTTACAGAATATTACTATAATAAAACTATAACTAACTGTTTGGAGTCTAGGTCCATAGTTTTTATCTGTTCTCTTATCTTCGCTGCTGCTTGTTGTAATGTAAATTTCTCTAACAGATTAAAATCTTCTGGAGTAAACATCTCATCGTTCCCAAGTGGACCTACAATCTACAAATAGAGAAAATCTAATCTAATACCAGAAGTAGTATCAAAACTTTCTGAAGTCTTATTTCTAAAATCACAAAAATTAGTGAATCTAGAGAATCACATGCGATATGGAGAAGTGAGAATATAAACATCTTCTGAGATAAAAAATCAAACATTTAAAAAAAGGCAATGTGTCAAATATATCTTATCTTATCTTCTAACATTGATTCTAGGATATCCTAGGTTCTTATCTTCTAACATTGATTCTAGGATATCCTAGGTTCTTATCTTCTAACATTGATTCTAGGATGTCCTAGGTTCTTATCTTCTAACATTGATACTATTATATCCTAGGTTCATATCTTCTAACATTGATACTAGGATATCCTAGGTTCTTATCTTCTAACATTGATTCTAGGATATCCTAGTGTTAAGATCTTTCGATTATACATGGCCTGATGTTTAACTTCAACCGAACTATCATTAGTCTATCATTCATTGCTGAATAAATAAAATAAAATCTTACCCTTCCATTGGCTATAACTCCACGATCATTTTCTTCAAAATTTAAAACTTTTACAACAAAAGATTTATAGGATTTCAGAAAATCTTTATTTTGTTTGTTGAAATCTGTCATAAATTTATTCATATCCATTCCCTAAATAAAAACACAAGTAAAAAATAACCAGATTATATAACATTGAGATATATAGATTAAAGGGAATGTAATGAAGTTTTCTAAACTTTATATATGTATAGGGGACAACGATATCATTGATATATACCATTCCAATTTTTAATCAGATGTCTGTGGTTCCTGCTGTTACACTAAAACTAAGGGTTAAGTCCTAAGACTATCTGTTTTTAAAACTTATTGTCAAGTACAAATCTTTCCTAGGACCATCATTTATTCAAAAATCTTTTGACAGACGTCAAATTTGTAATCTTAAAAAAATGTTGAATCATTGAAATCAAACCTCTACGTATCATAGATTCAATTTTACCTTCTAAAACTATAAAACATTTTACTTACATGTACTTCTAGATCTTTCAAAGTTTTAGTTCCAGCTTTTAATTCTGCTACGTTTTCTTCTTTCACTAGTTTGGTAATAAAACTCTTAGCGTGGTTATTACCGAGTGTATTGTAGGCAACGTATATCGCACGACTTATAATGTGATCTTCTGTCAGTGAGGCTGGATTGAAGACTAAACCTAGGCGGATTTCATTAGAATGTTTCTAAAATAAACAAAAAGTAAAGAAAAAATGAAGAAGTAGAAATGTTGAAGTTGAAAACCAGAATATTATAATGATAAACAGAACTTCAATTTTAGATTTCTTCTTTTTTCAATGATATCAAGTTAAATGTATATATATTTTTCCTTTTGTGAAAAGTTCATTAACTGCTACTAATAATTTGCCAATATATTGTTTGGATTTCGGGTTTCATTCTGCGGTTCTGATCCTTAATACTTGGTTTATTTGTGTATGTATATATGTTTTTCTAGTATGCCTATTGCCTAGTATTTCAAGCATCAATACAATATCATATTATGATGTATTAATTCAGATATATTGTGGTAGCACTACTGTAAATATAATGCCTGGAAAAATTTAGAATCAATGTTGTCTATAAATAAACCAAGTACTAACAGCAAAATGAAACCCAAAATCCAAAACAACATATTGACAAAACATTGGTAGCAGCTAATGAACTTTTCACATGAGGAGGTATATCAATTATAAGTAAGTATTTCATAATGAAAAGTGATATCAGGTGTCTAGAAGAGTAAGCAGAACTTACCAATTCTTTTATAGCATTATAGAATATTTCTCTGCCTTGTGGAGTCTCTACATCACACACTAACCACAATGTTACAGCCCGGATTGATGATTCATCTATAATAATAATAATTAATTCAACTAATTATACAGCTATCAATATATAAAAATATTACTTTAATCTTACAATGCTTTTTATCTGCATTGAGGCCATTAATTGCTTCTATTGGCACCATTCAAATATTCCTTCAGATTTCTGTGCTTTTTGTAGTTTTATTCTACTTAAACTAAGTGTTAAATGATGTATTGATCACTGGCCCCGAGATACTAATAGCAGCTTTATTTTGACATCATATACTGTACAGCATTTCTAAAATTACAGGAACCACAGACATCTGATGAAGCGTTGAAATATTTCGAATGAGGGCCTTAGTTTCATCACAACTACTATACACTTTCTCCATGTCAAACACTCTGACCTACATCACTGACAAGGAGAAACAGTACAAGATATATACATTTGATAAACCTACCTTTTTTAGTAATATATTTCATTCTATCACTAACTATAGCTACCATATCTTTTACTGTCATTCTACTAAACGTTGATACATCTTCAAATATACTCGAATCTAACACAAAATAGCAAATATAACATTACAAATATCAAATATAACATTATATATCAAATATAACATTATATATATCAAATATAACATTATATATATCAAATATAACATTATAAATATCAAATATAACATTATAAATATCATTATAACATTATAAATATCAAATATAACATTATAAATATCAAATATAACATTATTAATATCAAATATAACATTATATATCAAATATAACATTACAAATATCAAATATAACATTATAAATATCAAATATAACATTATATATATCAGAACACAATATTTTCATGCTTCAGTGCAGCTTTCTTTACAAGATGTCATTTGCTTGATTACGTCCAGCTAATGGTGGTTGTGAGTTCTTATCTTGGTAAGCGTGTGAAAGTATGACCACCCTGAATAAGTCATCTTCACTCGTCTACCCAGTTGTAATTAGCATGAGGTTAAGCTAAGAACCAGCTTGTAAAAAGGGTCCTTAACTGTGTACCTAAGTTATTATCCTTGTAAAATATAGTTTCTTTCTTTCTACAGAATGAGTATCTTACCAACATTTTCTGTTAAATCAAGAGTTTTAAATTCTGGAGATAAAATTCTGGAGTTCAACCTGGGTAAAACATTATCTTTACTCATCAACCAATCTAACACGTTTTCACGATCTGTTAGTTCACCCTGGAATGATAAGAGATGGCAACATAATTAACATTTAGCTAATCAGTTCAAAGACTATAAGCTATCTGTGCTGTATAGAGCCAGTATCAAATTTACCAGCTGAAAGAGCTCATAGTCATTCAATATTAACTTTACCAGTTGAAAGAGCTCATAGTCATTCAATATTAACTTTACCAGCCGAAAGAGCTTATAGTCATTTAATATTAACTTTACCAGCTGAAAGAGCTCATAGTCATTCAATATTAACTTTACCAGCCGAAAGAGCTTATAGTCATTTAATATTAACTTTACCAGCTGAAAGAGCTCATAGTCATTCAATATTAACTTTACCAGCCGAAAGAGCTTATAGTCATTTAATATTAACTTTACCAGCTGAAAGAGCTCATAGTCATTTAATATTAACTTTACCAGATGAAAGAGCTCATAGTCATTTAATATTTACTTTACCAGCTGAAAGAGCTCAATTTCAGCTATCTGTATAGTCATCTTAATATTTACTTTACCAACTGATAGAGCTCAATTTCACCTATCTGTATAGTCATCTTAATATTAACTTTACCAGCTGAAAGAGCTCAATTTCACCTATCTGTATAGTCATCTTAATATTTACTTTACCAACTGATAGAGCTCAATTTCACCTATCTGTATAGTCATCTAAATATCAACTTTACCAGCTGATAGAGCTCAATTTCACCTATCTGTATAGTCATCTAAATATTAACTTTACCAGCTGAAAGAGCTCAATTTCACCTATCTGTATAGTCATCTAAATATCAACTTTAACAGCTGATGGAGCTCAGTTTCAGCTAGTCAGCTGTAGGAATCATAACAAGAATAAAGAGATCTTACATTATAAACAGCTTTCTGTATAGTTGGTGTAGCTGTCATAATTTCTGTAACAACTCCCTCTTCAAACGTATCAGTTGATAAAAACTGTTTTTTAAACGGCACTCCATTCATTAAAACTTGGGGAAAATCTGACAACCCAGATCGTGAGATAAAATCTAATCCTGCCTGTAAAAACAGAGAAATGGAATTTTACATCATATTTTGCTGCACATGATAGGGATAATGTAGATAGGTAACATCATGCAGTGTGCAATGAGGAAAATTTTGTAAGAAAAGCAGCATTATCCTGCCTCATGGAACAGTTCTCAAATATCAAAATAAAATCTAAAGCGATCCGGAAGAAATGAAACAATTTCACATATAACAGTAAAATGGCCTCATAACATTGCAACTTGTACAGGATATTCCTAAATTCAACTTTTACCATCTCCATTTCTGCTCCTGATTTGTCTAATGAAGCAAAAATCAAATGCAGAATACAATGAGAGAAACTTATACAAGACAGAAGTATTAGTCTACTTTTTATAAAAAAACATGGGTTTCATTAGCAAGTACAACCTGTAGCACACAGATCTTCAATTTTTAATCCCATTCGAACAATTGGACCGGGTCCCACATCTCTAATCTTTGTAAGTTCATCATAATCATCCTGGTCTTCTCCAAACACCATGTCATTATGTCTAGCTCCTCCCCTTATAGACCCCACCCACTCTAATACTAACCTTTCTAAAATCATCATAATCATCCTGGTCCTCACCAAACACCATGTCATTATGTCTAGCTCCTCCCCTTATAGACCCCACCCACTCTAATTCTAACCTTTCTAACATCATCATAATCATCCTGGTCCTCACCAAACACCATGTCATTATGTCTAGCTCCTCCCCTTATAGACCCCACCCTCTCTAGTACTAACCTTTCTAATATCATCATAATCATCCTGGTCCTCTCCAAACACTATGTCATTATCCTCACCAGGAAATTGAGACTGAAATTCTTTGATTATCAAGTCACTTGTTAGTTCATCTGCTGTTGATGCTTTCTCATAAACCTGAAACATAGACATAAACAAAATTTATTTTTCTTATTAGAAAATGACAGGAAATGAAATAAATAGTGACAAAGTTAAAAAGCCAATAGCGTGGAAAGATCATGATATATATATTCCTCATACAGCTAGTGAAAACAGACAATGCTTTGGGGTCTGCAATGAGGGAAATTTTAACAGAACATTGATAAATCCTACTCTTTCTCCATGTTTCAATTATCCAGACATATAGTGCTCAATAATGAAAGATTATATAGGTCCTAAAATACTTACATCAGTAATGAAAGAGAGAGCTTTAGAAGGATTCTGGTCTAGTTTTATAAAATTAAACGCTCGTGCCATCGCCATACTAGCATCTGTTTTCGGTGTGGCTTTCTCATCTTGATTGGTCACAAATATTATACCAATTCTGAAATTAATACCAAATATGTATACACAAGCAATCAACTTTTTACAATCAGCTGTACTAATTAGGCAAAAATGAAATAAATGGAATTTTACATCCTACTCTTCTAGATCTAACTGGGCTCATGAAGGCGGCAACACCTTACACAATGCAGTGTGCAATTAGGGAAATTTCGCAGCGGCATTAGCCTGCTCTTTTACAATTTCCAACTGTCAAGGGATCTTCAATATACACAGCCTGTAGCACACATGGCCTCGGTATATTGTCCCATCTGAATGACTATACGCTTTTTCCATGTTAGCCCCTCTGACCTGCTTAACAGACAGTGGGAAACCAAGTTGAAAATTCTGTAGGTATCATCACGGATAAAACAAGCCCGGGCTATCAGTTAAAATAGAACAGAAGTTTACTAAAAATAGGTGCAACAGAAGAATAAAAGTATAAAAACAAACCTAATAGGTGCTTTATGAACAGAAAAAGCTTCAGCCATTTTTAATAAATCTTTACTTTTATCTTCTACAGGGTTTACCACAAAAACCTGAAAATATCAACACTTTATTAGACCAGAGAATTTCCCGCAGGTGGCAATTACGTGGGTCATTTTCTTTAAACATTATGGTCGTGAGTTCTAATCTCAGTCTGAAAGTCTGGTAACCTTGAATAAGCATGCATTCTCATAATTCCACTGACCAAGCTGTAAATGGATATGGATAATCAGGGAAAGATCAAAGACCAGCTGGTTGAAAGGATCCTGTGTGAACCTAAGTTATTATCCTTTTAAAATATAGTTGTTTCTATCTTTTTTTTCTTCACATAAATACCAAATTTCTATAGAAATGCATTTATGAGCTCTCAAGATAGTTATAAAATAAAATAATAATGTACTATACTTACCAAATGAAAGATATTTTTAGCAACATGACGTAACATACCAGGGAAAGTTGGACGTAAAATATCTTGTATACTATTAGGCCAACCTTGATATCCTCTATCATTTTCTAAATCATTTAAATACTGTAATATATAAATATAATAAGTTCTCTTTAACTCTTTAACATACGAAATTTTCTAGATGAAAATGGAGTTCAACATCCTACTTTTCTGTATTAAAAACATGTTTCATAACCCTGGACACTGAGAGTAAATTAAACATAACACCATACACCCTGAACTACAAGTAATATAACTGAAAGTGTATGATGTTAACGTTATGTGACATCACTTGGTAATGGCCTCTATACCAGCTGCTTTGGTATCATATCACGTATATGGCTGGTAGAGTAGCTTCTAGTGATGAAAGGGGAAAATTGTTTAAATATTGTGATGTATAAGAAAGAGGGAGGCCATGTTTTGAGTTAAAAGAGTACCAGTCTACCTGAACAGTTTCGTATATTAAGAGAAACTGGTTTGAATTTAGAATCAATCAATCAATAAACAATAACTAGTAAAGAGTATTAAAACAGTACCAGCCTACCTGAACAGCTGAATGTCGTATATTAAGAGAAACTGGTTTGAATTTAGAATCAATCAATCAATAAACAGTATCTAGGTTTAAAGAGTATTTAAAGAGTACCAGCCTACCTGAATGTCGTATATCAAGAGAAACTGGTTTGAATTTAGAATCAATCAATCAATAAACAGTAACTAGTAAAGAGTATTAAAAGAGTACCAGCCTACCTGAACAGCTGAATGTCGTATATCTATAGCGTATCGTGTATCATCACCACTCTTTAAATCAATATGTAGTAATTTATCTAAATTATCTCCCTGTAATAAACATAAACATTATTACAGCACTGATTACAAACAATTTATAATGAGATAGTAATCTGGTCATTTTTCTTTTCAAATCATTAGAACCACTAAAACCTTGCAAGAAATCTACCGTAAATGTTACTGGGTTAAACTTCTTTCTGATACAAATAGAAAGGAAAGAAAACAACTTTCCAATTCCTTACAAATATACCAGTTAAATATATTCTGTTAAAGTTACAGTCATACGTTTTTGGAATAACAGGAATCAGAGTTATTACGAGAGAAAATCAGGATGGTGCAGTATATGCTATTTGTATTCAAATAGTGTGTTATCTTGACTGAAGTTACTACTGTATATTTGCATTATAAAATAGCTTAAATTCAGCTTTTCATATCATTTTTCAAATTAAAACTCCCTCATCTACCTCTCCAATAATTAAAAAAAGAGGATAAAGAGTATATTCTAATTATGAAAACTACATTTATATGGGAAAGAAAGAAAGAAAGAACTTTATTTTATAACTTAGGTCCATATATGTATATATCTTATATAATACAATAAATTCTATATATGATATCATGTCATTTGTTATAATTCTACATTATTTACCTTAAATCCTAGAGAGTGAAGACCTTCTATTAACTTAGCTTCAGAGTTCATAGTATCTAATACAGTAAAAATATCAAATACATCTAAATCTATAGTTAAACCATTTAAATACAGGGCTGATTCACCAACCCCTAATGAATGATGTCTCTCAAATACCTGAAATACAAAATAAAATGAATGGAATTCTACGTCCAACTTTTCCAATCTCATAGGGCTTATTGAAACAGATACACGTAGTTGTATGCAATAGCGTAAATTTGGCCTGGACATATCTGTTGATTTTCAAGCTGTTAAGAGATCTCTAATGGCACAGCCTGTAGCACACTGGGCCTCTGCTTACTGTCTCTTCTATACAACTAGATGCCTGTCTTTGTCTCTGTCTTTGTCCCTCAACCCTGCATCACTGATAAGAGGGGAAGGTGTTGATCCAAAAAGGATCCGAGAGCAGAAATTTGATTGGTTAAAGCAGGGTAAGGTCAAAAGGTTATATTGACGAATGTTTAAGAGGGTTGTCTTTAGACCCTAACTGAAGTGGCCAAATCTAAAACAAAAGTAAATAAAAAACGGAAACGGAATGGTGGTCTGTATAGCTACTGCTAGTGTTAAAAGGGATATTGCAACTTAAAACAAACCAATACTAAAACAAATAAATAAAGCTCCTTTTACTTACCTCTTGATTTTTAGAGATTTCTTTTTTTAATTCTGAACTAACACTGGTTCCTACTAGAGATCTACAAATCAAGTCAAATATAATGACATTTATAAACATTTGATTAACATTTTTTACAATTTTTTCTTCTTGAATTTCCAAAATTGGTTCTGATGTAGTAAGTGAACACCTTTTTTAAACATGCAGTCCAAGGATGAGGATTATATTTACAGAACACATGAGATAAACACTTGATAATTAAATGGCTAGCAAACTATAAAAAAAAAAGATAACTGGAAACTTGTTCAATATTATAAGTTTGTATCAAGTTCGTATATTGAAAATTGAGCTCATTTCTGCCCTGATGAAAAGTTTATACCCAAAACACAAGTCAGATGTGTTGATTAGATAAATGGAAATCTATCATAAATATTTAACATCACTTATAACTTTATATATTTATAATATTTTTTATGAAAGAAAGATGGCTGGAAAACTATTATGAATAATTCAAATTGACAATATTATTAAGAAAGGAGAATGACGTACCTGGCCTGAGTTGGAAAGTTCTGACTGATATCAGTTAAAACACTTAAACTTTCTTTATTATCAGAAGACAGAATTCTCTCAGCAGCCTGCAAACTTAAATCTGGAATGAAACAAGAGTTCATGAGTAAAATAATAAATTAGAGAGCTGACTTCAGAAATGAAATGAAAAAGAGTTTTACGTCCTACTATTTAACGTTTTGGTTAATGAAAACACTGAAAATTGTTTATGCCATATAAGCAAGATGACTTAAGCACTCAATCATCTAGCTGGTGGCAACCAACAAATGACAGTGCCTACTTTTTCCAAGTATATCATTACTATGAGATGCTGTGTAAAAATCAAAATGCTGCAGACCAATTGCTTGAATACTGACGCTAAAGATCCATACACAAACATACCTTGTAACTGCCAAACTTTAAGGGGAGCTAACTCAGTTTCTGAATCTATTAAATGATGTCTGAATTCTCGTAAATTTTCCTTCAATTCAGGATGACGCTCTCTAAAAATAATAACACAGATAAATTAAAATTATAGTCTCAAAATTTCAATCTCAGTTGGAGTGTTACATATAAACACAACTTAAACGTTTCTTTACCTTTCCTTAAAAAATTAGGTGGTTCGAATCCTTAAGGTATGATAAATGCCTGATGCTTGAGCCAGTAATTCGGAGAGTTGGCCGGGAGTCGGCTTTCATCCCCTAACACTCAAACATGTGATTTCTTCATGATTTTCATTTATAATCTTGTCTCAAATTCCAGTCAACCAGCTGTAAATGGGCAGGTATAATCCAGGGATATGCTTGAGCAAGGACTAGCTGGTAGAGAGGATCCTTTATGGACTTAAGTTATAAAATACAGTTGTTTCTTTCTTTCTTTCTTTCCCATATAAATGTAGTTTTCATAATTAGAATATACTCTTTATCCTCTTTTTTTTAAATGAAATGTGACATTGATGGCTTAATAAAAATATTTGATATGATATTGTGTTTGTCATTATGCACAATAAAAAATACCAAGTGCTATCGATCCGAAAATGAAAACGAAACCCAAAATCCAAAACACAATTAAATCAAATTATCAATTACCTCAGTTTTGAGAAAATAAAACCCTGAACTTCTTCTCCCTCTATATCCTGATCTTTACTGCCATTATCAGATTCTCCTGGAATAGACAGAGGGGAGAAATATATCATAAGAGGAATAAATAAAATAGATAAGTAAATGAATGAATGAATAAAAACATCTATCGATGCATTAATTGAAATGAATGATGGTGGAAGGACAAATGAGTGAATAAATGAATGAATGCAAGATATAATATCATGATGTAAGATGGGTGAATATGGAGTGACATAAATGAAAAGAAAAATAAGTGAAAAGGAGAATGAATAAATTGAAGGATATGATGAAAAAAGTTTTAACGAAGAAATAAATAAATGAAGAGTTAAATGGAGGAAAAAAATTAATGGATGAAGAAATGAGACACCATATGAAATATTGGAAAGAAAGACAATGAATGAATAAATTGAAAGGTACTTTTGAAATATTAGTTGCAAATTGGATAATGAATAAATGGATGAAAAATAGACAAAACGATTTCCAAATAGGACAAAAAATATAGAAAGTAGTCAAAGTATACGAATGGAAGAGAATGATTTAATGACTAAATGAAATTCTGGAATAAATCAAGAAAAAAACAAAAGCAATGGTATTAGAGGACATGGATAATGAAATGAATGGGACATTTTAAAAGAAAACTCTATTCAAAAAACAGGGAAATATCATCTACAGGGGCTAAGAAAGAGCCTTGGATTTTCCCAGGAATATAATCTTAAAAATCTTTCCCTACTGAAACTTACTCTGTTTATTCTTGACTATAATAAAAAAACAAACATAAATTTTGACATGGAAGACATCATTTCAGTATCAAAATATTTCAAAAAAAAAAGAGGACACATGAATGTTTTGTTGTTATCTAGAGTGTTGTCACCAACGACTGAGGGCACACGAGAAGAGGAAAATATGTCATGTATCATTATATTCGATGTGATAAAGTAGAATGGTTCTGATTGGATGATGACTCACTCGTGTCACCGTGAGTGCTGTTGGCTTTAATTTCAAAATCATTCAGTATATTATAATCTTTCAATGGCACAAGATATAGATAAATAAGACAACTATTATATTCCTGATGATGGTGTGAAAAACCACATTGAAACGAAGTAATAAATATACCAGAGTATCTATCCATAAAATAGTCTAATTTACTCAGTATATTGATCTGATATTATTAAGGATGAGATCTGTGAAAACTACTGGTTTAAGTGATATTATGAATGAAGAAGACTTATTCAAGGCCATCAGACTTCCACACACTGGTCGAGATAGGAACTCACAGCATATGGAGATAAAATAAGCAACAGTGAACAATTAATGCCATAGATATTTTGATCTGATAGAATGAGATCTGCCACTTTTATTTACATAATTGAACTCATACCTTCAACTTTGGTATCATCTTTAGCTTTATATTCTGTACTTTTGATAGCTAATTCTACCCCATATCCTGATAATCTTACATTTACATTGGCTGGTGTCTGGAAACATAATATCACATTATCATAGAGTTGGGAGATGACACAAGAACCACACATAGAGCTCTTAACTGATCATCTTAACCCAAAATGAAATTAAACTAATTTTTGAAAAACTTTTAGGAAATAAATTTGGGACTCTACAACCACTTGACGTTCAACAATTTTTCAGTTTAATAGATATATCGTCTTATATAGAGATTCTATTCTTAAGTCATGGCACCTGATAAGTCCAACTGATGAAATATCTATGAGAATACACTCTTGAGATTTTATGTCCATTCCAAGAGGTAGTATTCCTTTTATAATAGCAGTACTCTCCAGTTATACTAGCAGTAAAATATCAGAATGGTAAAAAAACGTCCTGATTCTTTGACTTACCTGTACAAAATGTCGAACTATAAAATGAATCGGTTCGTCTACAATCAAATTTAATATTTTACTGTAGAATTGTTTGAAGTCTTGAGTACCCAGTTCACCATATAATATCACTTTTATCTTATGTTGTTGAGGGCCTGGGTAACTGTGATCAAAACTATAAACTACTGGTGGAGACCTGGGAAATAGAATTTTAACTTATATTGATATTTTCACAATCAGAACAATTACAAATTAATCTATTCAAAGTCAAATTAAAATTGTGTTCAGAGGTCAATAGGTTATATTGACGAATGTTTATGAGTCCAGTCTTTAGACCCTAAGTGAAGTGGCTATATTAAAAATAAAAGCTAATAAAAAAAAAACGGAAAGAAAGTTTGGTGTAATTCTAATTACACCGATGAACATATAGAGTATAAATTGTAAAATATCTACCTGTCTCCTGCAGATTTAATTAAATCAACAATTTTATCAACATCACAAGTTTCTTCACTCTGGACATTGACAAATGTTGAACATTTCTTACTGGACACGGCTTCATTCCCTAACTACAGATAAATCATAAAATAAAAAAATTTCAAAATCAAATTTGTAACGTCTAAAAGGTTTTTTTCTTGATGGCAGTACTATAGGGGCACGAAGAAAAAAATTGCATCCTTGATTGTACACCCACTATATTTTATTTTGCCCAAAATATTTGTCAGCTGTCCCCCTAATGGATATATCAGCCCCCTTTTTGTACCACAAGTCTTACGAGGCCGGCAAACACCACTGGCTATATGCAAGATTCAAAAATGGAACAACAGCAACAGATAATCCTGTCTAACTGGTTATCAATTCCCTATTATAATGAATCTATAACTTCATTTATTTCGTCCTGCAGAACTCAGGATCTCTACTCTTACCTGTTGATAAACTTGAACTTTTGGTGAAAACGCTCGTAATGACAGAGATAATTTTAATAAATTAAGTTGTAATGGTGATAGATGTCGTCCAGCAAATTTCTGTATTGAGTTATATAGTGACTGATTGGATTCTAAAATCAGAAATAAACAGTTTAATAATTTCCATACATATTGATTTATTTCTTGTGTTTTTTGTGTCTCAAATAATACATATCTTTTTATATTTTAAAAAAGTTAAGAGTTTCTATACAAATTCTGAAGGTCTTTGGAAAACTTTGAAGGAAATTGGAAACTTTGAAGGCCATTGGAAAACTTCGAAGGCTATTGGAAAACTTCGAGGGTCATTGGAAAACTTTGAAGGAAATTGGAAACTTTGAAGGCCATTGGAAAACTTTGAAGGCAATTGGGGAATTTTGAAGGCCATTGGGGGATTTTGAAAGTCATTGAGGAATTATGAAAAGTATTAAACTTATCATTTCAACATGTTAGGATAGGTCATAATTGGCTGCTGATTGAAGGATGGGGTGGGGGTTTCTGTTCATTGGAAGGTGGTGCTGAACACAAGTGTCTATAAATACAAGTTTGACAGTATCTATAATCAATTGATCTACAGTGAACATAAACAGCATTGAATGAATCCGGGAATTTTATTGCTGTAAGATGTAAATAAATTGAATGATTTACAAACCTTTTGAAATTTGTTTGGGGTCCAGATTTGTTACATCTTGAAGAAATCGCCAAAAATAGTCTGGAGATTCTTTTGCTAGGAATTCACTGAAAAATACAAGTTTCCAGGTTAAGTTATTTCCAGTTAATAATCAATAATAAATCAACTGATTTTTTCTTTGGAAACAGCATGGTTTTGAAATGTGTGAAGGAAGCTGAATTAAATAAAGTTAAAACCAGTATGTAATGTAACAGGTTTATTGTGAGTAGAGAATACAACAAAAGTAATATTCAGTAAAATTGTCAGCGAACTTACCTGGCTTCTAATAATAATGGAGTTGATCTCCATTTAGCATCAAGAGCTACATTGACAGACTTGGCTTTCCCTTCCACATAAACTATAGTATGTATTACTATCAATATACTGGTCAGTAATTTTAATACCATCATTTTAATTCCAGCCTGCAAATATAACAGACAAGTCAATAAGCTTACTAATAAAGGGATTGTAAAGAGGTATTATAAAAAATTTTATGTGTATCAGGGATACTGATAGCATCAATTTGTACCATTCCAATTTTCAGTCAGATGTCTGCAGTTCCTGCAATTCCACTTAAACTAAGTGTTAGATGTACCTGATACACATAAAAAAATATTAGAAAACTTCTTTATTACCGGTACCCATTTTTATGTTATACAGTCAAGTAAAATAATTTCGTGGAAACCTACTTTTCGTGGATTTCCAGAAATGTTTAATAATTTACATGAGCGATCTTGCGTGACCTCCACATTAGCTTGTTTTGATAAACATGGGTTGTGTGCACAATATCAGTTAGTAGAATGAAACCAGTAGTTTCAAGCAAGGTAAAATGTATTAATGTATACTTTGACAAATACAAAATGACGAATTTCACTTATTGCCAAATGTCATCATTTTTTATCTGCCGAATTTCCTTATATAATCCCAAGCGGTAATCGGAATTCCAAGTGTCGTCTGCTAGAATGTAGTCCAACGAATGAAGTCACGTGATATAATGAATTGATATTAAAGATAAATACTAAGAGAAGTTAATTATACCACTGGCTATCTATACAACGTGTTTTTCTAGACTTATTTATAGATCAAACATTGTACACGAAAATAGGTGACGCATTCTGCGTCATAGCCGAGTTGGTTGCTCATGACATATGGGTCAAAGTGAAGGATTCATAAAGAAAATCGAAATAAACCAATTTTAATTATTTTGTAGAATATCTGAGGAAACATCTAAGACATAAAAAAAAAAATTTGTTTTTTAAACTTTGACGAAATTTGGTGTTAAATCCTTATATCCACGAAAATAGGTTACACCACTATTTCCTCATTGGTTGGCATTTTCAACAATACAAAGACAACCTCTCAAGACTATCATATAAGTGTGGCTTATTTCAATTCATAAAAAAGTGATGACTGAAACTGACAGAGTAAATGGGCAGAGTAGGAGAGCACTGAGCTGTTCCGGCTGGGGTTGGTTTGTATTTCAAATGCAGGATCCGGGAGAGAGCAAAAATGACAATATCAATCTAAATTCGATATAACTAAGCGCCATTAACAGCAATTCATTAAAATAAATATTAAAAATTATAAATATACAATCAAATTCAAAAGACAATCGTTTTTTTAAATTATCATTGACATCTTCAATGCTATGCGTGTAACTAATAATATATTTCATTCAATGTTTTGTGTACCTTACTGGAGGCTGCCATATCACTGTCGCGCATACAAAGTGCCAGTGATGTGGAGAGATCTGATTGGTCAAAAATATTTTGAAAATAATTTATAAATTACAAACATAAATCAACTACCTTTTACTTTCATCCTTGCTATTTAAAAGATATTTCAAAGAGCAACTTTTTATTTTATTTTTTTTTTCTGAAAGTTTAAAGATTTGTGCGGAGTTAATGAAAAAATCGTCTGCTACTTCCGGTTCATTTGACACCTCCGGAAAAATAAATGTTCTCAAGACAGCGAGTTTTAAATTTGATTTGCTTCATGTAGCTCGAAATTAATTGCACCAATTTTCAGGTATTTTAAACGACATTTTTTTTCTCTGTTTATTTCACATGTTCTATTTCAGTGAAGAGTTGAATCACCCTTTTGGCCTTTTGCAGTGTTGGCCTTTTCATTTTGTTTTTTTCTTATCACTGATATTTTATGCTGAAAAGTCAACCTCACGACTGTCAGGATGTGGGAGCAACTGGAATTTGTAAGACTGGTGGCATTTTTCTATATGTCAAAATATTGAAAATCTCCAAGCATTTAATTCAAATTGATGACTTCATTATAGTCATCACATCTGCCTCTATTCCAGCCTCATTACATAGATAGATAGATATTTTGTCAGTTATCGGCTGAAGCAGTGAAGGGGGATTATGATAGTATGACTGATCTAAAAAATCTTCATCTTTCCAAATATATCTGAATATATATCCGATTGAACTAAATATGTTTAAAACCCCTGCACCTTCAGCGGGTGCGGAAAATTCCCACAAAACAGAGCGTCTCTACATCAACAACTCTCAAAATAGCTATCAGAGAAGATAAAATAGAAAAAAATGAAATGAATTGATTTTTACGTCCTACTTTTCTGCACCTTGTAGGCTAATGAAGACAGGCAATGCCATGCAGAGTACAATGAGGGAAATTTTGACAGAAAAGCAGAACTAGCCTGCTCTTTTTCGATTTCCAACTGTCAAGGGATCTTTAACGTGCACAACCTGTAGCACACAGGGCCTCGGTTTATTGTCCCATCCGAATGAGTAAATGCTTTTTCCATGTAGAGGAAGGAATAGGCAGATATTTCTGTTTAATGGCTTCAGTGCTTCACTCATATCAGAATTACCGGTTTTAAATGCTTTGAATTGCAAAAAGGATTTCAATCTGCTTTGAGTTTTCAAGTTGAAGGACCTATCTTTCATTCAATTGGCTTTATTATAATGAATTGTGGAAGAGACCAAAATAAACATTGCAAACCTCTCCAATGCCATTATGCCAAACATATTATTAGTTTCAGTTTTGAGCTTGTAGCTGAGCTAATATTTGGCAATGTCTTTGTGACTCTCTGATCATTGTAGCTGTATCAAAGTTGATTTTCAACATGTGTTTTTTTTATGTGTTTTGCTCCTTGCTATTGGAATACTACATAATAATCTTACAAATATTACAATACCTGTACTCTTATATTACCTCTTCAGAATTTTTAGCTGTTTTCAATATGTAGGAAATAACTATCACAGCATCTTAAAGTGGTAAGACCAGTCTAACAGACAGTGGCGGAGCCAGGTTTAGGTCTGAAAGAGGGCAAAATATCTGAGATTGGCCAAAAGTCTAACCTAGTTATGAGATTTTTGCCCTAAAAACTTGCTTTGGGGCTACAACGGGGCAGCTGCCCCCTGACCCCCTTTCCCCCCCCCCCTTTAGCTCCGCCACTGCTGACAGGCATTAAATTCACTTTCAGAGGGTGTCTCAGAACACAGAAGAGCATACATGGGCAGCAACCCACTGGTACCCACTCATCTAGTTCAGTCTGTGTGTGTTATTTGACCTCATCTGAACCATGATAAAATTGATACTAGGGAACAAGTGATTAATTACCTGCTGTAACATATTGATCTAAAATCGACTAAAACTCGTCTCCTTTCTTCAAACACGATTCTTTAATTAGTTTACTATCTATTTTACTAGTTAATCCACATTATCTTACTCAAGTAGGTATGTGTTCAAAATATTTAAAACTAAATACTAGTTTATATCTAGCAGATCTTTTTATCTGTGACCTCTGTGCTTTACATAGGGATTTTAGGAACTTCTTGACTCTTAATATCAAAATGGCTTTTGAGTCTAGACGAGGCTTGCAAATACAAGCAGGTGAAATTTTATCAATTTTATGATACTCAGTATCTTTCTGTCAGTGATGCAGGCCGTAGGGGCTGACATGGAAAAAACCTCCAGTTGTTTAGATAGGACATGAACAGACTTGCAGAGGAGACTAATGAATCTGTTCTGTCAAAATTACCCTCATTGCACATTTCATGGTGTTACTGTTTAATTTCATTCTGTTTAAAGGGACAGGTTGGTCATCTGTTTGACCAATCATACTGTAATCTGAGAAACAGGAATCGTTTAGCTAAGCCAATCAGTAAAATGGTGTTCACTGATCTCCGTTTAAGTGCCTTCAAATCCATGCATGTCCAGAATTATCTGTGTTTGAAATTAAAAAAAAACAGGAGTCGTCTTTTCTTGAGACACTGTCTTATGTAGAAACCACATCTATAGAAATGGGCAATGAAATTCCTAGTTTGAGGTATCTTTGAAAGAATTATGCAACTTTCGTATATTTCTAGTACTTTTAAAGACTGTTTACATATATTCAAACAAGACCCACATCAACCCCAGAAAATGGCTAACCTGTATCTTTAAAAAGTAATAAACAATTTAATGTTCTGTTATAGGATGCAGTCAGTAATTCTGTTTAAAAAGTAATAAAAACAATTGTAAAGAAATAGCTGTTGTATAATGAATGATTTGGCTCAAGGTTTAAAAAATCAATATTCAAACATGAAGTTACAGTGAGTTTTTATTTTATACACACTGGAACACACAGATACAAATATTTATCTTACTTGCAGTTTGTGGCGCCAGACAGGTTATGCTTACTCTTCTAGACACATGATACCACTTTTCATTATGAAATACTTACAGGTACTCACTTATTGATATACTTCCTTAACTGATTGATATACTTTGTCATATGAGCGTTTGTGACAGGCAGGGTGCGCTTACTCTTCTTGACACCTGATACCACCTTTCATTATGAAATACTTACTCACTTATAATTCATATTGCTGCTAGCAATGTTTAGCCAATATGTTGTTTTAAATTCGGGTATCGTTGTGTTGTTAGGATCATTAGTACTTGGTTTATTTATGAGTCGGAGGGCTGACATGGAAAAAGCATCTAGTAGTTTGAATGGGACAATAAGCTGAGGCTAGTGTGCTATAGGCTAAAGATCCGTCGACAGTTGGAAATCAAAAAAGAGCAGGCCAATGCTGCTGTCCTGGCAAAATTTCCCTCATTGCACCCTGCATGGTGTTGCCCGTCTTCATTAGCACACATGGTGCAGAAATGTAGGAAGTAAAAACAAATTTATGTATAATTTTGATCTTTTCAGAATTTATATTTTTGTAATTTCTCTTTTCTTTTTCTTTGTAACATGAATTGTATTTTATTTTAAATTGAATCTTTGTATTATTAGACATGTAAAAAATGTAAGTTCTCTTCTTGTGCTTCAATAAGAGAGTAACTTCTATAACATCCGATACCATTGGATATAGCCTGTGGCATTGCAGGCCTCCCAAGACTTGTGGTAGAAAAAGATACATGTGCAAAATTACTTTGTTTTTAC